AATGATTTGTTAAGTGGTATTGTGGGCTGAATGTCCCCTCTGCCCAAATCCGTATGTTGCAGTTCTAATCCCTGCCCCTCAGTGTGGTGGTATTAGGAGGTAGCAGACCCTTCCACCAGACACTTCCTGTATCAGTAACTCTTTCTTGTCTCCCATCCCTCCACTTCACTTTGCCCTCACCTGGGGATATCTGTCTCATGCCTTGTGGCTGGGGGTTGGGAGATCTCTCTTCAGATACAGTTATTCTTTCTGGCTAAACTCTAAATCTTCCCTTACTGGCTTAAGGACTTCAAAACTAAAGCTAAGAAGAGACTTAAAAATGTCTACTTTTCTGCACTATCTCATTCCTTCTCAAAGACAAGGATCATGGAGATTACTATTACTTAAGTGTCGAGGGCTGGGGATAATGAAACCTAAAATAAAGGAGGAGAAACTATTAATACAGAAAAAAAAAAGATCTTATCCTAACACATAGCCCAAATCTCAGCTTGACGACTTGCCTTTAAGTCCATTTGTGGAATTTGCGTCGTCAAGTTCACCCAGTCAAGGCACAGTGGCTGTGAAGTGGATGGAGAGTGAGCCTGGAGCCCTGGGTTCCTATATCCCCCTTGCTCACACCCAGCCCTAAGACCTTAGGCTAGTGTCTCCCCCTTTCAGACTACAATTTGATCAACTGAAAGATGAGTAGGTTAGAGTAGAACATTGAATTGAATAGGAAATACCATTTTGCTCATATGTTAAGTATTATTCTGTAAGACATTTGTAGAATGAGTGCATGTGTGGGGTGTGTGTGTGTGTGATGGGTCACAGTGTAAAATGTATTTCTCAGGGGAGGGATGATCAGAAAGTTTGAAAGTCACTGGACTAGAGGACACTGTGCTATAGGTCTGTGCGTCATTGGCGGGCAACGGTGAACATTGGAGTGTGAGATTTCTACCGCAGGGGACTGCTGCTGCTGCAGGCAGTGGGGATGGGGCTGCTGCATCCGCGAATGCTGGAGGAACCCACTTAACTCTCAGTTATTTCTTCTTCTCTAGCTAACTTAATTTTGTGTATTTTTATTCTCTTGTTTTTTTTTCTCTCTCTTATGTTTCCCCCTTTTCTTTCTTCCTTCTTTTTCGCCTCTCCCACTTTCCTCTCAACTTGATAAGGGAAAAATGTGGGGCAAGAGGATGGCCGTGTCCCAGGTCTTGGTTTAGTCCCTGGGATGAGTCCCGCCAAGTGTGGGTCCTTGGCTTCACACTGGAAAAAATTCAAGCGTGAGCCACAGTTGAGTAAATGTAGATTTATCCAGAGAGACACATCCTCCATAGACAGTGCAGGCTGTTTTAGAAGGCGAGAGAAAGGCCATGAGGTGTGGGGTTTGGGCGCTCTGTTTAAAGTAAAGGGAGTTACACTCGCCGCAGACACAGTGCGATCCTTCCCTCTCAGCAGGGACGGGGGCCTCCAGGTGGGAGGCTGTTAGTGTTTATGGGCTCGGTAACGTCATGTGCTAACAAGTGGGAGGATTATTCCAACTATTCTGGGGAAGGAGCTGCGATTTCCCAGGAAGTGGGCCACCGCCCACTCTTCGACCTTTTATAGGCAGCCTAGGAACTCTCGTGGCGCCTGTGGGGGTGCCATTTCCTAGGCTAATGTGTTATAACGCGGGTTTTATGAAGCTCAAGGTCTCCTGGGAGTCAAATCTCCCACCAGCTTGGGCCTCAAGGCCTACTGGGAGTGGAATTTTCCTCCATGTTGGTGTTAATGGCCGTGTCATTCTTTGAATGTCCATGCCCTGCCCGCTTCCTTCTGTCTCACGTCTATCCCCCTGGATTTCTCCTTTATTCTTCCTCTCTCTCCTTCCACCGTGTTGCCTTGTGGGTACAGAGTTCATTGGCGTGCTTTCCCTCACGTCAGCACTAAAGACACCCAAGGTATCATCAAGCCTTTACAACAGATGCTGCAGGCACCATGTGGCCCATCAGCTGGCCGCCTCGGCATCACCTGGGAGCCTGTTAGAAGGCAGTGTCTCAGGCCCTGCCCCAGACTCACTGAAATAGAATCCGCATTTTAACAAAACCCTATGTGAGTCCTACGAACATCCAGGTACGAGAGGCACTACTCCATCATTGATCATCTTCCTAAGCAAACCTTTGAAAATCTGTCACCAAGTCCCTAAATCCAGTTATCCACAGATGCCATCCAACAGCATGGTCACGGAAGGCACTCCACTCATTTGGAAAATAGATGGGCTTGGGGTGGGGGAGGTATGGAGATGTGGGGGTTTGAAAGCCTACGTGGAGAGGTGGTGGCTTTCCCTGGGACTCTGGACAAAGGATGTTTAGTCATGGAGGCAAATGTCTGGCTGTCCTGATAAATATCAGGTCCCTTCTTGTTTGTCAGGGCATGGTGGGGGATGTGGTTTGTGGTTTCAGGACCTGCTGTATGTTGTCAGACACCGGCCTGAGGGCATGGTGGTTGGTTTCAGTTGGCTCAGAAAGGGGCAGCGTTCTCCTTGTTCTCCTCCTCTGGGAAACATGGAATGACTTGGAGCTCATCCATGGAGGGTGCCTGTGTTACAAGAATGGTGGCAAGTCCTGGATTTCCTGGGACAGTCCCAGGTGAATACCCACTTCCCAGAAAAAATGGCACTGAAATCCTGAAATGGAAACTCAATTTGACACCAGATGGTTCAGAGTGGTAAGACGGAGGGCCCTCAAGACACAGGCTCAACATGCGTATTTGTTCTAGATTCCTCCTGATGCGTTGGAAGAACCCTAAAGCTGATCACATGATCCAGTGCTCTAGGCTCTGCAGCTCCTCCTTGCACTTGGCTCCTGTCAACTTCAGGTGGGGCTCAGAAAATACTTTTTCTCTTTCTGTCCCACTCAGAAGCTACAGGGCAAACCTCCTGGTGGTGCTAATGGAATTTCAGAGCCCAGTGATGTTTGTCAGTCGTGGGGCAGGCCCCGGCAGATCTGGGCTGAGGAAGCACCAACAGGTGGGCTCGGGGGGTGCCTACACTTGGCTGGAACACCCTGTGATGCTGTCTCGGGGAGCTGGTATTTATTTTTCCAGTCATGCTTAGTCCCGGGAGGTGTTCGATTTCATTAAAGCCTTCATGACTCATGACCCTAGGAAAGCTCCGATTCCACGTCCCCACCTCCTCGGCCCCATTTGCCTTGCTCTTCAAAATGAAAATAGCAAAATCTCTTAGAGTGTGTACTTGTTGAAAAGGACGTTTCTCGATGAGTTTGAGGAAAGCACTTTACAAGCTCCAAAGCACCACCCAGCTGGGAGGTGGGATTGTTATTCTGAGCAATTTGTTTGTGAAGGCTGATTTTCCGCCAATGTTTTCAAATAACCAAACCACGCTCCTCTTTCAAACAGGCTCATCGGAGGCTTATTTCCTTCCTCTGCATTTGCTGCCAGGGCTCAGAGAGTGTTTGGAATTACCTAATTTAGAGTCAGTTTTGGAGACATATGAGAGATTTGGCTCTGGTTAAGTTTTACCTCATTTTTGACCTAAACACCCCTGTCTGACTTGGTTTCCAGGCTCATTTATCAGACTTGGTACAAAAAGTCAGCTGGCTTTTCCAGAAATCAAAACCTCCCTCCACAGGCTGTTGTTTTGCCATTATTGAGGAGATTTAATAAAACATATGAAGACTTTTCAGGCAAGCGCCAAAGAGGAATTTTAGAAATTCATTGAATTATCAGCTATACCTTTGGGACAACTAGCCTTTAAGAGGTGACCACTATGGAAGTCAGTACTTATTTGGAATACACACACACACACACACACACACACACACACACAATCACAGACCAACAAATATATCACAAGGATCTTAATCATGTTACCTTTTGGGAATGTAAATTGGTTCAGCCATGGAAAACAGTATGGAGGTTCCTTGAAAAACTAAAGGGAGAGCTACCATATAATCCAGTAATGCCAGTCTGGGGCATATATCTGGAGGAAACGCTTATTCAAAAAGATACATGTACCCCAATGTTCACAGCATCCCTGTTTACAACAGCCAAGATGTGGAAGCAACCTAAGTGAGTCACTTTGCTGTACACCAGAAACTAACACGACATTGTAAATCGACGATACTTCAACTTAAAAAAATAAAAATAAAGAAATAAGAAATCAATCATCATCTCTTACCATTTCCCTAGTGTATTAGTACACGCTTTTTGTCTATTTGTTTTGTTTTATTTTGTTTGGGCAAGAGTAGCCAGTAAGTAATCAGTAATTTGTACATTAACTTATTCGTTTATAATTCAGTCAGTCAAAATCTGCTTGGCATTCAACTTTCAATGGCAAAAACCACACGGTCACTGACCCGATTCCAAAGGGAGAGGCAGTTGAATGTTAATCAAAGAATCACCCAGATGAATGTAAGCAAAACCAAACAAAACCCACTGTGATAAGTGCCGTGGAGGAGAGGAACATACGTTGAAGGTAAGGGACAGTCTAAAGGAGACCTCTCCTGGTCGGGGAGGATCTGAAGGAGGAGGAGCAGGGTTTTGGTGAAGGGGAGGGAAGTGCAGGGGTTTTCCAGCTAGAGAGGAGAGCTTATGTGGGGCCCCTATAGCAGGAGAGATGCCGGAGAGTTGGAGGAACAGAAAGAAGTCCAGCGTGACTGCTGCTCAGAGCGTGGCCGGAAATGAGGATGGAAAAACCAGCCGTGTAAAGACTACATGGGACCTTATAGGTAGCGCGATCACATGATTTACTGCCCAAATGGAAACACTTGTGAAAGTAAAGTAAGGGGCTATTGATAATGACCCAAAAAGGCATGAATCCCAACTATTCTGGGTAAACCAGGACATACGCTCCTCTTCCTAAAAGACCATGCTAGGGATTTTGGTCTTCACCGTAAAAGCAATGCTAAAAATGTTAAAGGGCTTAAGTTTGGGGATGAGAATAAAGGCATGATCGCATTTGCATTTTGGAAAGATCTTCCAGGTTACACAGTCAAGACAGGAATGGTGGTCATTTCTTTACATACCTAGAGTCCTGGTTTGATTTGGATAAACCTTCTTTAGGCTCCAGCCTCCTTTCTCTGCTCTCATCCCAGTGCTCGGTGCACATCTGTGCAGCAGCTGCAAAACTGGGATTCTAGAGGCTCTGGCTAATTTGTAGAGTTATGGGGTGGTGCCTGGCAATGCAGTGCTCCCATTAGCGCTGCTCATGTCCACACTGTGAGCCCAATGCCTTCCACATGCTCCTGTTTTATTCTGACCCCTCTGGGGTCAGGCCAGCAATGAACTCTATGGAGGAATTTGGGCCAACCTAGTGCCTTTCACTGCTAAAATTTTCAGAAAAAGAGGGCCTGTGCATGTAAAATCAATGGGAACCATGTCTCGAACCCACCAGGGGCTTTATTCACATGCTGGTGTCTCTTCTTGAATTTCTTCTCCGCCTTTTGTAGAGTCACAGAGTTAAAGGGGCTTTCAGAGATTCTGAATTCCTTCCACAGCCCCTTGAGGAGTGGTTGTCCCAGCTCTGACTGAGCTCTTCTGGGGGCCGTGAACATACTCCCTGCTAAGATTCCACCCTGGTTTGCTCACTCCTCTCTGTCTCCATTTCTACCGCTCCAGCCCAAGCCTCCATCGTCTCTTGCCTGGACCAACGCAGTGGCCTCCTCTGGTGTCCCTGCTTCTGCTACCATCTCTCTCTCAATCCTTCTCCACACTGCAGCCACAGTGCTCTTTTAAAATAAAAAATCAATCAAGTCAGTCCCTGTTTAAGCCTCTTAACAGCTTCTCATTGCTTTTTTTTTTAAATTGAAATATAGATGACTTACAATGCTGTTTCTGGTGTACAGCATAGTGATTCAGCTATACAGATACATTTCATATTTCCATTATAGGCTATTACATGCTATTGAGTATAGCTCCCCGGGCTATACAGTGAGGCCGTGTTGTTTATCTGTATACGGCAGTTTGTATCTGCAAATCCACTCTCCTTACTATAAACACAAAGCCCTGCTTTCGACCTGTTTCTCCAACCTCCTCTCTCACCATACTCCCCCTCACACACTGTGCTTTAGCCCCATTTGCCTTCTTTCATTTTTTCCAGACACCCAGACTTGTTTTTTTGCCCCGGATCTGTTGCCTGGAACTCTTTTTCCATTATTGTTTATGAAACTGGCTCTTCCTCTTTCGTTAGGGCTCCACTCAAGTGTCACCTGCATGGGAAGGTTTTTCCTGGCTGTTTGCTTATAGTAGGTCCTTCTTACTAATCTTTATCTCAGGTCCTTTTGTTGTTTACTTTATAACATACACTTCGTGATTTTTTTTTATTAGTTTATTTGACTGTTTTGTTTCATCCTATCTCTGAGGGTGGGGACCGTGACTACCTTGTTCACAGCTGTATCCTCAGTACACAGCACAGTGCTAACATGTAGTAGGTGTGTGTGAAATAAATATTTATGGAATAAATGGACAAATGATAGTGAATTACTTTTTGTTTAACAGTTCCACTTGCTGAAGTAATTTTTTTTAAATGAAGTAATTTCTTAATTGAAGCTTTATATTCATGGTTAGCTTTTATTACAGTTCTCTTCTGAATTCCTTTTTCATAATGAAGCGCCTACCCACCTATTTGAAGACCATTATCTTATCTGTTACAAGGCTTCTTTTCTCTCTTGAAAACACCGCTAGTTCTAGAATTACCATATGATCCAGCAATCCCACTCCCGGGCATATGTCCAGAAAAGCTGAAAGCTCTAACTGGAAAAGATACATGCACCCCGATGTTCACAGCAGCACTATTGACAATAACTAAGACATGGAAGCAACCTAAGTGTTCATCCACAGATGACTGATAAAGAAGATGTGCTATATATACACAATGGAATATTGCTCAGCCATAAAAAAGAATGAAATAATGCCATTAGCAGAAACATTGGATGGACCTAGAGATCATCCTACTAAATGAAGTAAGTTAGACAGAGAAAGACAAATATCACATGATACCACTTATACCTGGAACCTAAAAAAATTAGTACAAATGAACCTATTTACAGAACACAAACAGACTCACAGACATAGAAAACAAACTTACGGTTACCAGTGGGGGAAACGGGGGCTATAAATTGAGAGTTTGGGATTAACAGATGCACACTGCCATAAAAAAAATCCCTAGTTCTTACAACTCTTACCCTATAATGTGTTATCTTCTTTGATGCATCCTATTGTCCTTCCAGCCTATCGAATTCTTTTTGGATTCAGAATCTGTCATCTACCATAGTGATTATGTCCCCCTCTCATAGGCCACTTACATATTTGACAACTATGCTAGCTAAGTCCTCATAAAGCAAATGTGCTGAATGTCCCTAGAGAGAGTCCTTTCTTCAGGCATTGATAACTTAATAAGCCCATGGGAAAAACTAGATACCTTTCCATTAAATAGAAGGCAAAGGGTTGAATACTTCAACTAAGAAACTGAATTTTTTCTATAGCTGTCTCGACAGCATTTCCAATCGCATGTATTGCCTGCTTCACACACTCATATTTGAAAGTTATAAATTATGGTACATAATAGTAGGTGACCATTTGTACGGCGGTTATGCAGACTGTGTAGCAGCATAGAAGAATGATTCTGCTATGTGATGTATGGTGAATGGCAAAAGCACAAAGCAAAATTATGTTATGAGCAAATTCTTTTCTCCATTTTGAAATATGTGGTGTTCACATTTATAATGAAAAACATACATTTATATAAAGACTTTACTTACATTCCTCTTCTAAAATTTAGTGCTTCATATTAAGAATCCTGACTTTCTCATAGAAATAGGGATCAGAGGATGTTCTGTACATACAACTGGGAGAATCAATCCCCTTAAAAATGAGTTTGTGTCTCCTTTTCTAAGTTTGTGGTTTCTTTCTTTTGAGTAGTCCTGACACTGGTTTTCTATGAAGTTTAATTTTAGGAAAAATGTGAGAGATAAAGCTTTTTTAAAAAAATTGCTTGAAGAGGCAGAGGTAGGTAGGTTTACTTATTTATTTTTTTAATAGTGGCACTGGGGATTAAACCCAGGACCTCCTGCATGCTAAGCATATGCTCTACCGCTGAGCTACACCCTCTTTTAAAATTGCCCTTTTCCTTTTACCTTTTCTCTGGCCTCAGGTAATGACATCACACTACAGCCACTGATTTCATTTCCAGACTTCGTCTTCATTCTCCTGACCTACACCAAAGCTTACCGGTCCCAAGAGTTCTCTCCTCATCCCATCTATCTCTATCTCATTATGGATATTTCCTTGCCTCCAGAGACTCTTGATCATTATAACGATCTCTGAAATTCAGAAAAATGCAAAGAAGTAGGAAAACATCACTCATTGTTCAATCATGTAGAAAGGGCCCCTCCCTCTATTAAAAGAAAAAAAAATCCATTTGGCTTAAGGAGTTTATGGACGATAATGCCTTAGTCTCTCTTTCCCCTGTGGAAACTCTATTTCATTCCAAATTAATAGTGGTCTTTAAATTCCTGTTACTGGTGGCCATTCCATCCATTGTAATGGGGCTGCCGGGAAACAGGGGCTGTTCGCCTTCTTCCAATGAAACCAGTAAGGCAGCCACTTACTCTGCCTTGGAAATGCATCCCTTCTCTTCAAGATCCCTTGTGGAGACGATGCAGCTTAACACTCTTCCCCTATTTGCTTATTCAGTCACTCATCTCAGCCCTCCCTTCCCTGTCCGAGGCAGTTTGCCAGCTCCCAATGGTGTCTCTTAGGGACAGGCCACCCAGCTAGGCTGTCTTCTCTGGATTCCTATTACACTTTATTGTCTCTTTCACTTGCCTTTTTCCAGCCTTATATTTCCCTTGAGTTGTTTTTTATAAAGAAGGCCTGCCTGTCATCCAGATACGACTCCAAGGGCCAAATCTGGGCTTTACACAGGAAAATTTCACTTAATCCAAATGCTCGAGGCCATCGTGCTGGTGTATTGCAGTCAATGTACACTCAAAACTAATAGACAAAATTTCCCCCAGAATGTATCCAAGATAACTGACTCTTCTTTCATGTCTCCATAATAAAGACTAGAGAATACTGTGAAATTTTTCATATTTTTTGAAGATTTTTCTGTTTCAGCATTCTGGAAAGGTTCTTATTGCCTAAATTTGCAAGTTGAAGCATGAATATAGGATCCAAGTTTGCATCATTTCTCTTACTCTTTACCTCCATTTACTCAACAAGTCAATGAAATATGATGTCGATGAAGCAACAGCATCTTAAAAGTCATGCAGGACCTACTCACATGCAGGCAGGATAGCAGGGCAGCAGCCCCAGATCAGGGAAGTAGATGCACTGAGCTTCCAAGGAAGAGGGTAAGCCATGTGCAATATTTTATGCGTCACAGTTCAGATGGTACAGTGTGGTGTTGGGTCCCAGAGACTCAACTCTTGACTAAGGGCAGAAACTCATTTCAGTGTAGTTTTTTTTTTTTAATATCTATTCATTCATTCTCTTTTGAACTCCTCTGGGCATATGATTGAGGAGCTACTGTTGAACATGTAATGGATGAAAATATAAAAATTCAGAGTCTGGTGTAAAGGAAGCATTCAATAAATGGTGGAACCTTTTCTATGCCTCTAATTTGTTGAGTGACCTTGGAAAGCTGCTTAACTTCTCTAAGCCTCAGTTTTCTGAGCTGTAAAATGGGGATGTTAGCACCTTTCTTATAGAATTGTTGTGAGGGTTAAATGAACCAATGCATATAAAATACAAGATGGAGTGATTTAAAACAAATAGTAACAATAATAGCAGTAATCCTTGTAATAATTGTTAGTATTGTTGTTGGTATGAAATGCCAGTAAGATAAGATGCCTTCTAGTTATATTCTGGTGTATTGAAGTTTTTATTATATTTCTCTTCCATTGCTACAATCTAGTTGCCTAGCACATGTCTGAGTACACTGAAGGGCCTCAATAAATGTTTGTTATTGTACCTTGCTAAAGACAAAAATAAAATCTATTCCTTTCATCCTTTGTCTAGCCCTTCAGACCATACAGCCTCCCTCATTATTTCCTGGATTATTGCAGGGAATCTGATTAATGGTGGCAAAATGTTTCATGTATGATGAACACCAGATAAGTCCCATTAGGCTGACAGTGTCATTTATGTCACGGGTATATTTCTGGGGAGGACGTGCTTAATGATTCCAAGAGGTTGATCCGCCCCAGCTGGAAGCAATGACCTCCAGTGGCCTGGTGAAATCTGGAGAACAGAGAAATAGGTTCCTTGAGAGAAATGATACAGCTCTGCAGAAACATCTTAATCTACAAAGTCCTGTCCCTGTGTTGTACTTCTTGCTCTTACGATGGGCCAGTCCTCCTGGTATTCATGCTCTTGTGTAGCCCCCCACCCCCTACCTTGATTCTGGGCTTGGCCATTGGGATATTAATCATGT